AATGTGGACCAGCTGGGTCAATCATGAGCACATGCTCCTCTCGAAATTAGTTTAAAAATTAAACTTCACTTAATTAAGTCTAAAACATATGCCAACATTTCTAAAATATTTTCACACAGACAGCAAGATACTTCCTAAACTAATTTTACAGATATAAAAATAAACAAATGACATAGATTGTTGCATATTTTTGAGAAGCTTTAATACTGTCACAAGGAGGGGGACCAGAACTGAACTGAGTAGATATATATGTTCAGAACTGAGGCCAGAACTGAATATGAATGGCAGTGTATTATTGGATAATAATGAGGACAGAGAATATGGTAACAGGTAAAATCTTTGATATTACAGGAGGATGAGCAGTGGACTAATGGTGTAAGCCAGAGACTGATGGTGTAGGTGGACACAGAGGAGATCGGGAGACGCACAACCAGGAGGGAAAACACTAGGAGGAGAGACGCAGGCACTGTAGATTAACAGGACCAGACTAGGCAAGTATTTCAGACAGCTACACTGTAAAACCCAAAAAGTTAAGGTAACTCAAACCATTTGGGAAAACAAATTGCAATAAATCATTGAAGTTCAAAAACTACTGTAAACTTAATCCGTTTGAGTAAATGAAGCAATTTGAGCACAGTATAACCCAATAAAAATAAATGGAGAACTCAAACCAACTGAGTACTGTAAAACCCAATAAGTTAAGGCCAATTAAACTGTTTAGGGAAACGAATTGCTACAAACCATTTGAGTTCAAAAAACTAATCTGAGTACTGTGAACTTACTCCATTTAAGTTGAAGTAATGAGGTATTTATTTAACTCGTTATTTTCAACACTGAGTTCAAAACTTTTTTCAAATGAGTAGAATTAACTTTCAGAAAATTTTTAAGTCAGCTACTCTCACTTGGGCTTTACGGTGTATTGGAATTACTGTATGAGTTCATCCTTCTCAAATGCAACAAGACCAGACCCTGAGAGAATCGGCGTGCAGGGTTTTATGGGGCTAAAGTGATGACTGATGATGTTGTGCAGGTGCGGGAGTGATTAGTTTTCAGGTGACAGTAATCATGCTGATGTGAGCGAGGTGAATCATGTAATTGGGAATGGGGTGAACCTGGCCTGGCTGTAACGAATGCATTTGAACTTGCTTTTTTTCCCTATTTACCACATGTGCATAGACATTACATAAAACATTAGGACATGAATATTTACCTAAAAGTTTAATGGAAAAGTCCTGGCATTTTAGTAGTAAAAATGTGTATGAAGCCTGCATAGCACATCCCAAATGTCTCTGTTAGATTTACAATAGATCTACTGTAGCATGGAGGCTGTTTCGGGTGGGTAAATTCATTAAAGCCATGCTTAAGAAAACAGTTTGAGCTTTGTGATGTTATGGATAGCTTCACGAGATGTACACTGTGGTCATAAAAGAATGGACATGATCAGCAGTAATACCAGGTAAGACTAAGGGACCCAAAATGTGTCAAGATCATTTCTTCACACCATTACACCACCTGAACATCTGATACAAGGCAAGAGGGATCCACACTTTTGTGCATCTGAATGATGCAGCTTTAATTGAGATTCATTTGACCACATCTCTTCTGTTCTCTGTTGTGAGTTGCAGAGACAGTTTCCTGTTTTGACAGGCAGTAGTGTGTTTTCTGTTCAGAGATGCTCTTCTGCAGACCATTCTCATTTTAGATACTGTTTCCTGTTCTCTGTAATGTGTATTAATATCTGGCAGGAAACACATAGGTTTGTGGAGGAACAAGCAGGAAATGGAAGTAAAGTTAAAGTTGTGTTGTATAACTAATATACAGCACATATGTTTGTATTGTATAGTAGTTTTTGATATTATTTACAAAAAATAAAATTCCCTACCTGAATTGAAAAGATCTGGTTGTGTGTGTGTATATAAATTCCAAAACTGTGGTTATCATCTCTTCAGACTTGTTTGTTACGTGCTGGTGGGAAACCACAGTATCTAAATGTCAGACATTAACCAGAAATTAAATTCTGTATAAATGTTTGTCGAACACACCCAAATGTGTGTGGAACAAACTAAATAATTTCCACTAATAATATTCTTCTCTAGTTATATAAAGCAATTTGATATATGATTTAATATACTTTTTGAATGTTAAAGTATGTGTTTTGCAGTTGCTGTAAGTAGATGTGGATGGATGTGAGGGGATGGATCTGATTGCTTTTCATTGACAAAGTACAAAAAAACCTGTCAAATCTGACAACAGCTATAAACTGATCCAGTGCTTCTTCCTTTGCAGCCAAGAAGTTCCTCTTTTTTGTTCATATTATTATTTTAGGAAGTACATAGGATTGTGGTTTGGGAGTGTAACCGTGTACAGTTAAGACATTATGTTCTTATTTCTTCAAATGTGAAGTGATTTCTATTTTAATGTAAACGTTTGTTTGTTTGTTTGCTTGTTTGTTTTTATTGTTGAGCTACAAAAAAGCAAACTGAAATTAAATGTTTCAATTAAATGTTGGAAACGAATCAGGTTTTGAAAAAAATTACATACTTCCACTTGACGAATAGGAAAAGCAGAAGACATCAGGCTGCAAATCAAATGCTGCAAAGGCAGGTTCAGCATGAATAGTGTATTTTCAGTGTAATTTTTTAATGGCTTTATTGTAATAAGTTCATTAAAATAATATTTGTAGAGTTTCATCTGACAATTTTCTCTACAATTTGCATTTTTCTCAGCCTCCTATGTTTATGTTTAGTTATTAATGCAATAAAAATAACCTATTCTTTGCACAAAGAGTAAAATTACTGAAACTACACACAACAGACTGAGAAAAATGTTCGTTGTGGATCATAATTTCAGAAGGCACTTTCAGAAGGTATTTGCATGTAAAATCATCATATATTTTCAAAAAACTTAGTAGATAGTTTTCGAAAAAATTAGTAGATAGTTGTAGTATTTGTTTCTATGCATTTATAAATATTAGGAACTAAATTAGGAAATTACCCATGGCAACGTTAATGTAATACAGTTTGCTCTATTTACTTTTGGCCCACAGCTATCAATCAAGCTTGGATTTTGGCCCTTCATAAGAAAAAGTTTGGGCACCCTTGATCTAGCGTATCAAAAGTGGAGAGTGTGCAATTCATTCACTCCAGTTTTTGTCGGGACTGGGAATCAAACCAGCAACCTTTGGGTTACAAGTCTAACTCTCTAACCATTAGACCTCAACTGCCCCTAAAATCAGCAATGTCTGTTTTAAAACTTAACTTTCAATAACTGCATCTTCTGTGAAAAAGACAGTACTGCCTCACGCATGAGAAGAGAGTGAAGCGTTCAGTTTTTCTGCTAAAGTCCGGCACATAAATAATGAAATTGATTTGTATGTCCACAACTCTATTTTTAAGGAAATGGGAGATGACTTTAATGCACGTTACACCTAAAACACACCCATAAAGAGAATAAGGGCAATCCTTTCAAACCATGCTCCTGGCATTTCAAATATGTAGCTTAAAATATGCCAACTATCTGAATTTGAAATTGTGTTAATTTGATTGATTAACAATTGTAATTTAATAAAAGTGAATATTAAGTGCCATTAAAATTTGTTTTACATTTGAATCTCTTAATTTGAATTTGAACATCTGAAATTTAAGACAACAGATTTTTTTATGGCAGATTTTTGTAGACGTGTTTTTAAACAGATCTTTTTGTACGGACCATTCATTCATTCATTCATTCATTCATTCATTCATTCATTCATTCATTTATTTTACCAGCTGACTGCTTACCTCCGTATGTACGGCTTTTCTGCTGTTGCCAGTTTGTCTGGTAGCTCAACATGTACCTCTTTACCGCGGTAACCAGTTTGTCCGGTAGCTCGACATGTACGTTAGTGGACTTGAGAGCAGAGTTGACTGCTACAATGAGGTATCAAGTCCAGTGAAGAACGGTTTCAGAAAGCAGGTAAGACAAAAACAGAAGCCAAAAAAATTAAATAAATAAACAAGTAAGTAACAGGGTTAGAATGTGGTAAAATCTGAAAATGTGGTAAAAATCTGGTGAGGGCTTCGGTCGGTCAGTAAGTCAGTTGACAACGGCCTCTGGTGGATTTACATGAAAACAGCAGGCACAAGTGCACTTGCGAGAAATCTGAAAAAGTGAAAAGCTGCAAAAAAATGTAGTTCCTGTGATGTATTTTGCCCTCTCCAGAAATGTATACAGGGGTATGTAGTTTGTTTGAACCTGTGTTGTAAACACCCATACACTATGGATAATTTTGCTTATTCAATTCACCTATTGTGCATATCTTTGAACTGTGGGGGAAACCAGAGCACCTCGTGGAAACCCACGCCAACACAGGGAGAACATGCCAACTCCACACGGAAATGCCAACTAGCCCAATCGCAATCAAACCAGTGATCTTCTTGCAGTGAGGTGACAGTAAAAATCAGTATTCTAAAATTCAAAAGCAAAAACCCAGAGTGTGAAATTCAGATAGAAATTAGGACAAGGGTCATCAACAGGAAGGACCCAACTGTTAATCCCATCTTTAAAATCATAGAAGTGGATTCAGACATGCCTTAAGTGCACCTGTGCTGTGGCTTTCCATAAATGCTAAGAACAATAAAATAGAATCTGCTGTCTTTATCAATAGATCATTGAATCATTGTCTTAATTGATAGTATAAATAGTTTTATTCAGGAACAAAACATTTACTTTAAAATGCACAAATGTTCTATTACAGCATTGTTTGAGACATTTATTGTTGGCAGAAGAAACAAATTGTTACAAATATAATTGACCAAACGCTATCTTATGCCAGCGTATCGGGTTATGATTTCATGTCCTTCCCCAGAGACTTTTACTTCTCTATTTTTAGCCAACCCTCACACTCGGTGACATCAAATGCAGCTTCCTCTTTCTACTAAATTCTCACATTGACTGGACTTCATAAAGCCGTGTGTCAGATTCCGGACTCACAAGTCCTTGTAATATCCACCGAGATCATCATGGCAGCCGAGGTATGTGGAGTTCAGTTTGTTAAATGTGTAGCTGATTATGGATACTGCACTATACATAGACGTAATCAGTATCTTATTTTGAAAACGTATCCATTTGAAAACATTTGACGTGTGGCTTTTTCTAGGGAAGTCCAGTTTGTGGTGGGGTTAAGCTGTTCCACACTGAATGTGCTGGGAAACACTTGTATGAAGTGAAAGGTTTTTTAAACCACAACAAAGGAATGTTTACAAGGTATGTTTGTCTGTTTTTCCTTTATTTATTTATTTCTTCATAAATTCCCATATCCTTAACCTGTCTCCCTTTTTTTCCAGCACGGGAGATAAACTCCTAATGATAAACAACACAAACGTGGAGGATCTGACTCCAACATCATTGGCTGATCTTCTGACTGAAGGATCCGCCTTACTTGTGAGTTGCGCCTTCATTCAAAAACACATTCAAAGTCAAAGTCAGCTTGATTGTCAATTCAACCACATGTGCAGGACATACAGAGAATCGAAATTGCTTTACTCTCAGACCCAAGGTGCATACAGTGGTGGAAAGAGTAGTGAAAAATCATACTTTTGTCAAGTACCATTACTTGCTTAAAAATGTTGTGCGAGTAAAAGTATCTGTTGTAAATATTACTCAAATTATAAGTAAATGTAGCCCTTTTAAAAGTACTCAAGAGTAGTTAGCAGTGAGTATTACGCTGTGAAAGCTGATGCATTAACATGTAATTTGTGGATGTGTGTGTAAACGTAACATTCTGTAGTGCATCTAGTTATTGCCCAGCAGACACACAACGTCATAAGATGTTAATATTAGGTTAGATTTAGGTTGACCAAAATTCAGTGTCTAGCCAGCGTCTAGGGACAACGTTATTTTGATCACTAATAACAACTTCAAATGATATTTGGTTGATTTTAGGTTGTGTTGGAAAGTTACCAAAATCCAATGTCGAGCCAACATCTTAAACCAACGTCATGTTGACATCAAAAACTTTTTTGACATTTATTTGTCAGGTATGGCAGCCAAAATCTAGCATCTGATAGACGTCATAGTGGCAACATCCACACAACCCCAAGCTGCAACATCATTAGACGTTGACATTTGGTTGATTTTAAGTTGGATGCTGGACATTGACGTCGCCTGATGTTGAGTTTTGACATCAAAATGATGTTCATTTTCAAACAATATGCAACGTCCCCACAACGTTGGGGATGTCATGTTGATGTCTTGTGCCTGCTGGGTGTTAAAGGCCATTTCGATTATCATACAGTAAACATCCGTCATCTTCTCATCAGTGACATGCATCTAAACAGTCCGGGTCAATGTGTGTGAAGATTTTTGACATCTTGGCCGCTTTTAAAGCTTCCAAACAGTTTGCTGCAATTATAAAGTGCCCATGTCTTGAAGTAGCTCATTATGATGCAATTTACCTTCTATGTGTGATTTGATTGGACAGGAATCACAGGTTATTTTTTATTAATGCCCATAGAAAAGAAAAAATAAAGTAGTGACTGCAGGTTGAAGGAAAATAGTGGAGTAAAAGTACAGATACAGCACTACAAATGTACTCAAAGGAAAGTAAAAGTTTTTAAAACTACTCAGTAAATTACAATTCCTGAGAATTCCTGCACCAATTGTCCTGCTGTTTTTGTGCTCGGTGCTCTGAAGCGCCGACCAGAAAGTAATAGTTCAAACAGGAAGTGTGCTGGGTGTGAGAGGTCCAGAGTGATTTTGCGAGCCCTTTTACTCACTCTGGAAAAGTACAGTTCTTGAAGTGTAGGAAGGGTATTCGCTGTACTCTACGGAGGTCGGTTTTGGCAGCTGAGACAAACCAGACGGTTATTGAAATGCAGAGTGCAGGTTAAGCCAAAAAAAAAATAATATGATAAAGTGACAGTGTCCTAATTATATACAGGGAGGTAGTATGAGGTAACTAGCAGTCCAATGATACACAAAGTGACCAATGAATGAGTGTGTGTGTTATTTTTCCAATTTAATACACCAAAGACTTCTTTGATTGATCTAACTTACTTAAACGTGACCTTTAATAGAAAGAAGTGAAACTGAATGTTTTTGATCACATGTGCTTGTGTGGTTGTTTCAATACTTTTCCAGGATTACATTGTGAAAGTTTATTTTGGAGTAATTACTCGAGGATTAAAACTTGTGTTCTTTCTTCAATCTTTACTTTAAATCTTTTTTAGACGATACATCACCCATCCAAAAACAAATCAAATGAAGAGTGTGAATCAGAGGAACTCCGTGTCGACAGCAAGGAGCGAACAGTCATGAGTTTCAGCCTGCTGATGGTGAGAGATGTGGAGTTGGAGGCAGATGTGATACCGGAATCAGATTCAGAGTGCGAAGATGAAATCGAAGACAAGCTTTTCAGTGACAAAAATCTGCTGATTGTCTCCATGGAAGATGCAAGCTTCAACATGGTTGTAGCTCGAGGTTGTGACCCTGACAACCCTTGCAATGACTGTGGAAAGACCAACTGCCAATTGAATGAAGTTGTCGTCTTGCCTACAAATGCTAAAATTAGCTCTTGTAAGAAATGTGTTGCATTTATCGCCATTTGACTGTAAAAATGACAAGAATAAATCCTATGCAGAATGTAAATTAACCCTCTATTTTTTTCAGGTTCTGCAAAGGTTTTGCATTTCAAAAAAGAAAAGAAAAACTTGTTTTTGAAGAGTTTATTCAACGAAAAGTATGTCACACCAGATAATCGCCAAATATGTTTGAGTAGCACCATGTCAGGTCAGTATCAAAAAGTATTCTTGTACTCATTTTGAAACTGCCCTATTTCCATAACACTGCTTTATCTTTGCCTGCCCAATCTTTCATCTAAACAAAATTACACTTATTTGTTTACAACTTAGATTTTTAAGTTGCAGTGTGCTACATTATAATAATATTATTTATTTCCCAGTACTGGGTTGTAGCTGGAGGGGCATACGCTGTGTAAAGCATATTCCAGAATATTTGGTACTTCATTCGTCTGTGGGGACCACTGATAATTAAGAGACTAAGCCAAAGTAAAATTAATAAATGAATGAAATATAATTTACAATGCCTCATGTTTTTTTCCACCAGCACCAATTACCATCTACTCTTACCGTGTCAACTCAGTGGACAATCCAGGTGTTCCTGTTGTGTTGAACTTCACTGGAACACAAAACTTTTTCAGCTGCACCACGAAGCAAGGTGCAGACACGAAGATTTTAACCGTTGTGGTAAGTCATTGTTCATTGCTGATGTATTGTTATGTTGAAGATTATAACAGAGTTTAGAAAGCATTATTAGGTCGGGGTTGTGATTTGAGTATTTGAACTCAAGACACTTAAAAATAAATATGTATTCACCCTCACGTCCTTCCAAACCCATTCAGGATATTTCATTAATTCGTTCATTTTCTTTTTTAAGCTTAGTCTCTTTATTAATCAGGGGTCACCACAGCGGAATGAACCGCTAAATTATCCAGCATATGTTTTGCGCAGCGGATGCTTTTCCAGCTGCAACCCAGCACTGGGAAACACCCATATACTCTTGCATTCACACACATACATACACTGACAATTTAGCTTATTCAATTCACCTGTACCGCATGTTTTTGGACTGTGAGGGAAACCGGAGCACCTGGGGGAAACCCACGTGAACACAGGGAGAACATGCAAACTCCACACAGAAAAAATGACTGACCAAGCTGGGGCTGAAACCAGCAACCTTCTTGCTGGGAGGTGATCCTGCTACCCACTGCACCACCATAATGCCACCATTTTTAAAGATTTTTTGTTTTCATTTAGAAAAAACCCCAGTAAAATCTATTTTATCTTTTCCATTCCAAGGTTTTTGTTGCAAAACTCCTGAGGATTTTTTTACAGTATTGCTCAGCAGTTAGCTAGCTATTCAAATTAAAGATTTAATGATTTGGTTTATTAATGTAAAGGCTTGTGCACACCAGGATGATTTCGGCTTGAGCTTATAGTTCGCATTTATCTGTGTTCGTAACCATGTTATTTTCACTGTCAATTAGCAGAGTGGACGTGCAAAATCCCTTCCTAATATTAAAAAGCACTTTGTGAAAATAATTTTACACTTCTGTCACTCGTTTGTTGCACAGAAAAAGCTTCTTTCTTGTTTATTTATTGCATAAGCTTTTTTTAGTTCTGTTTCAAATCCTACAACTACAGCACACATTCAAATGTTTGCAGGAAAAAATTGCAAGCTATGAAATCAAATGAAGTGAAACTTACCATCAAATCCTATCTGAACTGCAGTTCCTGGGTGGTGCTTAAACACAAAATGGTCTAGCCAAGCAAAATAAAATGTTTGGTCCCACTTTATATTAAATGGCCTTAACTAATATGTACTTACACAGGAATTAATAGTTTGTTACAATGTACTTATTGTGTAAATACATGTATGTACTGTGTACTTATGCTTGATTAAATACATGTATGTAATTACATCTGTAATTAACTTTTGTAATTACATTTGTAAATACACTGTTGACCATCCCCTACACCTTAACCCACCCTTAAACCTACCCATGCCACCAAACCTGTTCATGACCCAACCTCTATCCCAACTCAAAAGCACCACAAGTGTTCACAAATACATTATAAACACAGTAAGTACATTGTATTTATTTTTATGTAAGTACATAGTAGTTAAGGACACTTAATATAAAGTGGGACCAAATGTTTTAATGTCAGTTCAGCAGCTAAAGGCTCATGAACAGAAGCACCAATCTCCTTGGTCAACCAGTTTTAATGCAGCGGGTCAAATACATTTATTGCCATTCTTCTGTTAGTGTAAACACTCAAATTATCAGCCTTTTAGTCACAAAGTGTTAAACATCATTAAACATCATTGATAAGTAGGTAACACTTTACAATAAGATTGTATTAATGTTACCTAATTGGTTTACTAACATGAACAAACAATGAACCATACATTGTTACAGTATTTGTTCATGTTAGTTAATGTAAGGTAATGAAAAAACAATTGTTCATTGTTAGTTCATGTTTACTCACAGCGTGTTAACTAATGTAAACAACATGAATTTGGATGTGAATAATGCATTAGTAAATGTTGAACTATGATTAATAGATGATGTACAGGTATTGTTCATAATTACTTAATGTTAGTAAATACATTATCATGAACTAATAAAATCTTATTGTAAAGAGTGACTGATAAGAGCAAGTCAATATATTTCTGGTTTGCACAGGCAACTTTGGTTTAAATAGTATGGTGGTAATTTTTGTTTTTATTATTAGATTTTTGTAATGTCTGAGAATATTTTTTAATGTTAAAGGAATTAAAAGAAATACTACTTCCAAGATACCATAAGCATGTGCTGACTTCCATTAAACATGGTATGTGTGCTGTCTTTCAGTCTTACAGTAAGAGCGAGCTGCAAAAGATCTGCGCCGGGGACACAGAGAAATGGTCACTTGTGTTCTACAAGTCTTGTGGACCAGACTGTTTCCAACGGTTTGAGTCGGCTCTCCACAGAGGATGGTTTATCTGCACCAAAAATATTGCCAACAATGACGCGAATGTGTACATGGGCAAAGGTGTTGAGCGTGACAAACCACTCAACACCTTTTTCGTCATAATTGAGAGTGAGAAAGCGATTTGCTAAAAGCGTCACAGTGATGTAACGTTTTTGTGCAGTAGATGTATACTGTATGTCTTGCATTAAGAGTTATGATATTTTCTTTATGAGCTATTCTCTAATTAATGTCTTACAGACACAATACAGACACAATAAGCTGACATTACTATCTAACACGATCAAAAGCCTATAGTGCTTTATTAAAAGTCTGAATAAATTTTTTGGATTGGCAACTAATCGACAGGCATACTGGTCAGATTGGGGTTTGTTGGAGACTATTCAGGAATTTAGCTTTATGTTGTCACTTATTTCAATTCAAGCGTGATAAGGTTGTCTAAAAGAATTCAGCCTTTTCCAAAGAGTGTTGTGTTTTACTGCCGTTGCAGTATTGCGTAGATATGAATCATAATATTTACTGAAGTTGTTTGTTTTATTTAACCTTGTTATATGCAGTTGTGTTTATCATGAGTGTCATTTTTATATTCAGCTTTTAAATAGATATTTTTGAAATCAGCATGTGTATTTTATTGTATTGATAGAGGGCATCCACAGGGTCTTAAAAAGTCTTTAATTAAAAAAATATATATATTAGGCTGTAAAAGTTTTTGAATTTACTGAAATCTGTGCTGTAGGTCTTAAACGGTTTTAAACAGGTCTTCATTGTTTCTCTGTCTATGTAAAGTTACCCAGTCAGGCTGACCAATCACCAATAATCCATCTCAATAAAGCTTTTAACAACAATGAAATATTTAACTCTATTTAGCTAAAATAGTGGAATTATATTTCTTGCAATAACTTGCAAACGTTTATTATAGATTTAATTTTTTTTTATTTAGATTTGTAAATATTTTAACTAGATTTTGCTTGTTTTGACACAATTAAAATATGTGGTTTTGGAAATAAAGTCTTAAATTTGACTTTAAACCTGCAGATACCCTGTGCTAAATAGTTACTGAAACATTGGTGATGGTTTTTATAGAACTGAAAACATACATTACATTGTTTAATAAATCGTATTACTTTATTTTGATGGTCCCTTTAATGCCTTTTGTAGAATTTAAGTTACATTGCATCTACATTCAAACTAATTCTCATTAGATTATAATGAAACTGTTATGGTTGGGGTAAGGGATAGTGTAAGTTGACATGTACTTGCAAAGTTACTTATAATCAGTTATTTGTCTGTTGAAGGAGCAGTATCAACCGATTTTAAGCAGACATTAATACTAATTAGTATTAGTCTACTAATACTTAAATGAGCAAATTGGCATGTAGTTGCAATGTAACTTTTTGTCAACAAAATGTGCAATAGGGGCATCAAAATAAAGTCCTACCCAATAAACACAGTCAATTTTTATTCACTTCGTCTGTATAAGCTAAAGGCTTGTAAGAACTTGACTGACTGCTTCTGTATCAAATGTATTTGTGTTTGAGTGTTTGTATAGCATGCATCGCCTTATGAAATTTCAATAAAACAAAATTTTAAAAAATAAGTTCAGTGTTTATGTATAATTGTTCATCCGACAATGTGTTTTATTAATAGTTGTGATCATACTTTATAGTATGATGTTTCTGTAGTCGCTTGTTAGCTCTTTATTCATTCATTTGCTTTTCGGCTTAGTCCCTTTATTCATCAGGGATTGCCACAGCAGGATGGACCGCCAACTTATCCAGCATATGTTTTACATTTACATTTACATTTAGTCATTTAGCAGACGCTTTTATCCAAAGCGACTTACAAATGAGGACAAGGAAGCAATTTACACAACTAAGAGCAACAATGAATAAGTGCTATAGGCAAGTTTCAGGTCTGTAAAGTCTTTTACGCAGGGTATGCTTTTTCAGCCACAACCCAACACTGGAAAACACCCATACACTCTTGCAATCACACATACACTACGACCGATTTACCTTATTCAAGTCCCCTGTTTTTGGGCATGTGGGGGAAACCGGAGCACCTGAAGGAAACTCATGTGTGGAGAACATGTAAACTTTATTTTTATAGTGCCTATTGCACATTTTGTTGACTAAAAGTTGCATTGCAACTACATACTAATTAATTCTCATTTGAGTATTAGTAGACTGTCTGCTTCATATCTGCTGATACTGCTCCTTTAACATTTAACTGACTTTGCAAAGTACATGTCAACTTATACTGTCCCTAACCATAACCTCAACCTAACAGTCTACTTATAATCTAATGACAATTAGTTGGCATGTAGATGCAGTGTTACTTAAATTCAACACAATGCATTAAAGGAAGCATCAAAATAAAGTCATGCCAAATACTTTGTAGAAATATATTTATTTTTTTTATTATAAGGTACAATTAAATAAATGCATTTAATTTACTACGGTTGCACAGCTGTTGATCCTAATTATGCTGACGCTAAAGTCCTTGCACCGATTAAAGGCAAAATTCCTTGCTTCATTAACCACTTGCTGTATGAATGAAGTAATAATATAAACACTGTCAAAAGGCTGGGCTGAACACAATACAAATTTAAGTGTATTGAACATAAAACAATTAAGCTGTCCCCCCCAAAAAAACTCAAGAATTGTGTTGATTCAGCTCATTTTAAATATGTACTTTTAACAGCAAACTTTTTTTTTTTTTTGAGTGTAACATGTTTTGCTGAGATGTGAACTCAAAAGAAGTTTTCCACTCCAAGCCAGTTAGGTGGTTAATGTAGATAGAAGTTTTTTTCCCCCTATGTGGTTAATAAAACTTTCCCTGCTTCATTAACTACATGCTTGGTAAGGAAAAACTTTTTAGGGGAAATCTTTTAAGTGCACACCTTGCAGGGTGGAGTGACACATACTTTCTTATGTCTTTATGATTATTAAAAAAAAGTTGAATGTTTACGATGGTGCAGTAAATAGCACGAACACCTTACAGTAAGAAGGTTGCTGGTTCGAGCCCGGCTAGGTTAGTTGGCATTTCTGATCGTCATAACAGCGTCAGCCAATGAAATTCAGTCAGCAATAGGCCACTGTCTAGCTAGTGTATTTGCATACAGCGATCTAATTGGCTGACGCTTCCATTGGTGCTTGAAAAGTTGAGCTAGTCCCAACTGCTGCAGCAAGCAACGCCACTGTAGCTGCGTTGACAGATCCACAATGCAGTTTGGCAACACCTGCCGTCACCCATTCAAACTGAATGGGGCTTGTGAATGGGGCGTGAATAAGTGTGTATGGATGTGTTTCCCAGAGGTGGGTTGTGGCTGGAAGGGCATCAGCTACGTAAATCAAGTGCTGGATAAGTTGGTGGTTCATTCCACTGTGGCGACCCCAGGTTAATAAAGGGACTTAGTCGAAAAGAATATGAATGAATGAATGTTTGTAAAGTATGCCTGGATCCATGTAAAGGCTAGTGCACACCAGTATGATTTCCACTCGTAGTTCGCATTTTTCAGCTTTCGTTCCCAAGCAATTTTCATTGCCAATTGTTATGATCATTAAAAAAAGAGAATAGAGTATATGATGACCTTAGTGTCATTCTACTTCAGAGAAAAACTGGAATAAATGTGTGTGATTGTTTTTTCTGTATGCCAACTGATTTGTTTCTTCAGGATCTACCCAGTCAGGTCAGAGGTCATGGAGATCTCTTGAGTGGACAAACTCTTGAAGAATTGCAGACAACTAATTCCTGAGTTTGTATGAAAGTTGCCAGTTTAGATATAGATTGTTGCAGTTTTGAAAAGGCGGCTGAGATTAAAGTCAGATTTGGGTAAGAAACAGTACAGTTCTGGGGTCAGCTCTGATGTGGCTGTCTGATGTTTGCATGCTTGAGATAATGTACACACGTACATGGAAATTTCCATCTTTCTATATCTGTGTTTTAACCAATCAGGTCTAAACACCTATATGTATGACACAGTTAATGACATTATGTAAGAGTATAATAGTGATGTTATTGTGAGTAGAGCGGCCTACGAGCTCATTGCAAGTGTTGAAGCTGGCTTCTGCTGATGAGACTGCAAACTATCTTCGGTAAACTTTCTTTAATTGAATCTCTGACTCCGGCTCTTCTTCATCTGGCAGGGTTCAAACTGTAATTATCCCCACACTGTATTATTAGCTCATACTTTTGATAGTTTGACATTTGTTTCGGACTTTTTGCAAATAATTATTCATGATCATAACATCTGTTACTTGTGACCAAACCTGACAGAACTGCTATAGGCTACTGCCTCTCACAACTTCCTTTTCCAACCACATGTGGACTGTGGCTTTGAAAAGGCACCGTTTCAGAGCAAAGGTTTACAAATCATTCGAGCAGCGCTGAGATCAGCATGGCAGACAAGGTATGCAAAATCAAAGTTACTATGCATGTTATTATGTTAGTTTGTGTTGTGTGTTATAAATATACAGTGCTCAGCATATATGAGTACACCCTCACTAATCTATCTTTTAAATTCATGTTTTTAATAGGAAGCTATACAATATTTTTGCATATACATTAGATTAGTCAGTACTAAAGCCAAATCTGGAGCTTATCTAACAAAGTAACTCAAGATAATAGTCCAAAAACTAGTACAGCCAAATTTATGTTTATAGAAAAATACTAAATACAAATTTTTAAAAAGAGGAATAATCAAGAGAAGAAAATAGAAAAAATAATTAGTTGAAATTTTGTAGGTTGTAATTTTTTTGCAACATTTTGCTTGAATTTACTTGTATTATGTTTCAATTTCTAAATGTGTGTTCGTGACTAAAATATTTTTTTATTAAATATATCTGTTTAATAAATCTGTTTTGCGTAAATGCACCAAAATACATTGCCTATTTACTGAGAAATGGATCAAAATATTTTGCTGAGCACTATATATATATATATATATATATATATATATATATATATATATATATGAATATCATTAAAATAATAATTTGGTCACTGAACATCTTTAAAAGTAGAAAGAACACATTTAAATTTAAACAAAAATAGCAAAAGTATCTATCTATCTATCTATCTATCTATCTATCTATCTATCTATCTATCTATCTATCTATCTATCTATCTATCTATCTATCTATCTATCTATCTATCTATCTATCTATCTATCTATCTATCTATCTTTCTATCTATCTATCTATCTATCTATCTATCTATCTATCTATCTATCTATCTATCTATCTATCTATCTATCTATCTATCTATCTATCTATCTATCTATCTATCTATCTATCTATCTTTCTGTCTGTCTGTCTGTCTGTCTGTCTGTCTGTCTGTCTGTCTGTCTGTCTGTGTGCACAATATCATTACTATTATTTGTTCTAGTTACAGGACCCACGTTCATTCACTGTGCTGTTTCCTCTTCTCAGTTTATCTAGTTCATTTAAATGTTAACAACGTGATCAAGAAATGAAACTAAACATTTCCTGGAGGTTTTTTTTTTTTTGTCTAGTCTGGAAACTTAGTAATGTGTGGGAGGCATTTGTTTCAAATGTGAGCATCTCGCTGTCATTCATTCTAATTTTCTTCAAGAAGTCTGAAGCCAATATTCTCTCTCACTCTCTCTTTCTTTCTCTGTTTTGTATAGATCGGATGTGATTCAAACATTGTAAAAGCAGAAGAGTGTAAATCTGAGGACACCTGTGCCACAAAACGTGAGATGAAAATCAGATTCAGCCTGTCGGTAATAAGCGAGGATGTTTTGGATACAGCCTCACTACCAGACGACTATGAGGAGGAGCACAACGATTGTTTTCTTGATGATTCATCACTTGTGGCCCTGGCTAACATGACCCTGAGTGTGGTTGATGACCAAGATCCCGATGCTGATGACCCTTTCTGCAGCTGTGATCAGTCCTTTAATGAAATGGTCATCACTCCTGACCAAGCGGATTATGCATGTAGTAAGTTTTTCATTAGGCATTTTCATTACCATTGTGTTCTGAATTTGTGCTTTTTTGCAATAGGATAGGAGCCTTCTTCTAAACTTCCTCAATAATCTTGCTGTAAACTGAGTAGTTTCCATTGTTTGCACAAACTTCATTCTGTGACTGCTTCTGTAAAATTACATCTTTTCGCAGTTAGGCAGAAATACCAAAAAAGCTACATGGCAATGTGCATGTGAAAAAAAAAAAAAATATATATATATATATATATATATATATATATATATATATATATATATATATATATATATATATATATATATATATAATTGGAAGGAGAACATTGTCAGTTTAAAAACTAAACTGTACTGAAAGTATATTATTAAAAATAAACTTGCAGGAGTTAATTTACATCCTTTGGCAAAATTATTTGTATTATAATTTTAATGATCTGCTTGAGGTAGGTCACTTTATTATTATGCTTTTGATGTAGCAGTGTTCAACTCAAGAGCTCTTTAGTCCATGCGCCGGATCGTTTCTCTGTGTTTTGCTGGTAATATCTTTAAATAAATAATTATTTAGTTCAGTTTAATTATTTATTTATTACTTACGTACAATAATTCAGACATAAAATGAGATAGTAAAAATAATCAACAATAAAAACTTCAATGAAAAAGGTTATTGACTGTCTAATAACAAACACTGTACATCTCTCTATATTTAGACTAAAATATTGCTTTATTTATTTATTTATTTGAGCCTACTTATTTGAATGTATGTATGGACTTTCATTTTAGTTGTCTTTTATTTCTTAAATTTTACCTTCCAAAATTAATCCTCATTTTTACTTAACAAGTTTACAATGATAATAAAGCTTGTTAACAAGTTTTTAAGGTTTAATGAAGGCATTATAATGCTTTGTCTCAATATTTTATCTTCATTCACACGTAGGGAATTTACAGCTACTGTATATTTCTGTCCGTTCCCATACCGACCCTTTGTGCTGCCTGGCGGCATAGTCGCAAACTGCTGTTATACCTAAAAAAACATTCTTACTCCTTTAGTGCGGCGGCAATACGAGTTGTGGCGGTAATGCTCCTTTTAAAGTGTCACCCTCTGTATGTACAGTTTACTTTATAAAAAATTCATTAAAAAATTCTAAAATAATAACCATAAAATACTGCAATTTGCAACATTTATAGTTAAAACTGAACTGTTCCCAATCCCAGTCCAGTCATTTTTTAATTTCACAAAAATTCCGTAAAGATGACAACGCTTTCAAAACAGTACCTGTTAGCACAGATCCGAAACAAATGTCTGCAATTGCAATGACTGAAATGCTTTATTATGCCAGAATTGGAGAACAAACATTCATTCATTTATTTTCCTTCAGCTTAGTCCCTTATTTATCAGGGGTCGCCACAGTGGAATGAACCGCCAACTTATTCGGCATATGTTTTATGCAGCGCATGCCCTTCCAGCCAAAATCCAGTATACTGGGAAACACCCGTACACTCTCTCATTTACACATACACTCATACACTACGACCAATTTGGTTTATCCAAATGAGCCACCGTGCTGCCCATAGAAGAAACAGTGCACACCTATAAGCACATATACCATCCTGTAATTGGCATTATATCAATGTTTCTCAACCATGTTCCTGAAGGACCACCAGCTCTGCACATTTTCCACATCTCTTTAACCAAGCACACCTGATTCAGATCATCAGCTCATTAGCAGAGACTGAAAGAGCGGTAATGGTTGTGACAGACAAAGGAGAGATATAAAACATGCAGTGTTGGTGGCCCTACAAGAACGTGGTTGAGAAACACTGCATTATATGATATAATTGCATAAACTGCATGTACTTTTTTTCCAAAAGAACACTTTGTAGTCTATACTGAACATGATAATGATTACACAAACATGCCATATTCAGACATAGGTCTAGTGGTAATGAAGAATGAGTTGATTCAAGCCTTTTCTTTTGCTTCATTTTAATTATGAAACACATAGCTGTGCTTTGCTGAAAGTTGGGAAGAGATTTTTGCGAAGGGGTTTTGGAAATGTGACTATTAAGAGAAGGTCTTTGTCATTGTAAATAAGTCGAATTGTAAATATTCAAATGGACATTTATTGTTTATTATTTAAAAGAAAGCACAATCCCAATCTTCTGATGAATTAATCTTTGAATTTTATTTGTTTCAGTTTCTCTAGAAATCAAGAGACTGATTAAAGAAAAAAGAAATATGTACCTGAAGTCAAAAGAAGAATGCAAGTTTGTTTCTCCAGGCGGAACAAATGACATATTTTTGGAGGACACCATGTCAGGTTTTTGTCAAACTATGAAAAATTCTGTTTCTATAGAGTCATTTTTATCCCACGTTTTCTTATTCTGTTTATTTCTGAAATTTTTCAGCAAAAATCACCATCTTCCATGTCATGGTCGCTGAAGACTTGAATAAAGCTAAAGCTGTTGTGTTGAACTTTACTGACACCGAAAACTTCTTCTGCTGTATCAACAATGGGGAAGAGACTAAGTTAACAATTAAAGTAAGTTTTTAATTATGTTCATTTTTTTCTGGGTTGTTCAGTAATGCCTTACTAATTTAATGCATTATTATGATTAGTGTGAATCTTTTTTTCTTTTTTTAAATACTTCCCAAATTATTTTTAACAGAGCAAGGAATTTTTCCTATAATATTTTTTTCTTCTGGAGAAAGTCTTATTTGTTTTATTTCAGCTAGAATAAAAACAGTTTTGAATTTTTCAATATTATTAGCACCCTTAAGTTAAACTTTTTTCAATTGTTCATAGAGCATAACCATCATTATACAATGTTTTGCCTATTCACCCTAACCTACCAAGTAAGGGAAAGTAGAGTAAGTTTTTAAATGTCACTTTAAGCTGAATACTAGTGTCACAAAAGACATGTACTAAAATTGTATGTTCCGTCATTAAGGCAAAGATAAAATAAATCAGTTATTAGAAATGATTTATTAAAACGATTATGTTTAGAAATGTGTTGAAAAAATAATATTTCTGGTAAACAGAAACTAAACAGAAAATATACAGGTTGGCTAACATATATACTGTACACTTGAAGTCAGAATTATTAGCCCCCCTTTGAATTTTTTTTCTTTTTTAAATATTTCCCAAATGGTGTTTAACAGAGCAAGGAAATTTTCACACTATGTCTGATAATATTTATTATTCTAAATAAAGTCTTATTTGTTTTATTTTGGCTAGAATAAAAACCGTTTTTAGTTTTTTAAAACCCATTTTAAGGTCGAAATTGTTAATTCCATTCCTTCATTCATTCATTCTTTTTTTTCGGCTTAGTCCCTTTATTAATCTTGGGTCGCCACAGCGGAATAACCTGCCAACTTATCCTATCCAGCATATGTTTTAAGCAGCGGATGCCCTTCCAGCTGCAACCCATGACTGGGAAACATCTATACACTCTCATTCACACACATACAGCATGGACAATTTAGCCTACCCAATTCACCTGTACCACATGTCTTTGGACTTGTGGGGGAAACCGGAGCACCCGGAGGAAGGCTATGCCAACATGGGGAGAACATGCAAACTCCACACAGAAATGCCAACTGACCCAGCCATTGCTCGAACCAGCGACCTTCTTGCTATGAGAAGTGCTATCCACTGTGCCACCATGCTGGCCATTATTAGCCCCTTTAAGCTATTTTTTTTTCAATAGTCTACAAAACAAACCATCGTTATACAATAACTCCCTAGTTAACCTAATGAACCTAGTTAAGTATTTAAATGTCACTGTAAGCTGTATAGAAGTGTCTTAAAAATATCAAGTCAAATATTATTGACTGTCATCATGGCAAAGATAAAAGTAATTAGTGATTATAATTATATATTATTAAAACTATTATGTTTAGAAATTTTCTCTCCCTTAAACAGAAATAGGGGATTAAAATAAAAAGGGGGCTAATAATTCTGACTTCAACTGTATAACCTAAAGATACACAAATAATGCCTTCATCTTGTCTTTTTTTCCAGAGGTATAAGCAAGAACAGCTGCGCAACTCTACAAGTGACCCAGTAAAGCCCTCTCTTGTTTTCTACATGTCTCAAACCCCGGATGGTTTCTATCATTTTGAGTCTGCTCTCCACAGAGGATGGTTCCTTCACACTGTAAACTGCAATGTGAAAATGCAAAAATGTGATCGTAAAACCACTGGTAACCAATTCAACTTCATCGCAAGTGACTAGACATCAACTACTTTATATTAAGTCATATTTAGGATTTTATTTAGAAGGTGTCACTGTTTCCTTTCACACTATTACATTGAGCTACTTTTAATTATAATGTAGGAAACACTGGTTATATTGTTGTAGTATTTAATCAAACCTCTTAGAAAAACATATAACTGCTTTACAATATTAACCCCTATTTACATTGGTACCGTATGTATAAGCTTGCAATTTCTATTTTCATAGTTACAGTAATTGTATCTTATTATTATGTGTTCATACTATATATCTTTCCTATATCATGCATTCAAATAAATATTTGTAAAGACACACGAAAAAGACGTCTGTTCATTGTTTTAAAAAACAAAATCATGCAATGATGTGGAACCTTTCTGATTTTTTTTTTCTGAAAGCATATTTGTTTACAGTCCTGTTTGTTCAATGTCTTCCTCAAAGGCTTTGTTCACTTCACCATCATCTGATCCATCGTATGGGTTCTCAACTGAGGCCTCCTTAGCCTTCTTAGCTTTCCTAAAAAAAAGAAAAACAAATGTAATAATTCATACACAGTCAGCTTTTGAAAGAATTGCAGTTTTATAATCATGTAAGACTTTGGACATACCAAGTACATATTTAATGATTTACATAGCGATTAACTATTTTGATTTGTGTCATGTGACTTGTATGTTTGATTCTGATTGGTTGATGCACATTTTTAGTTGTGCACTTTCTTTCAGTAGTTTCAGGTAGTTTTACACTTCCGTAAAACAGATCACATTGCCAAAATTGTAGTTTTGTAGGTTTAACTAAAACCTTATATACATACAGTATACAGTGCCCAGCTTAAGGGAGTATTATATACAAAATAGATTAGTTAGTACCAAAGCCAAAACTGGAACTAATCTAATGAAATGACTTAAGATTATGGTCCAAATATTAGTAAACCTGAAATAATGTTAGAGGAAAATATATAAAAATAATAATAATAAGAAGAAAATACCAAAGGCAACACAAAACATATCAAATTTAGTTGAAATTTTGTTTGTTTAGTTAGTAAATTTTGTTTGTTTAGTTTTTTTTTTTTTTATTAGTTTGTAACTTTTGTTTTTGTTTTAATTTGTTATTTATGTTTGTTAAGTTTCTAAGTTTTGTTTTGGTTTGTCATTTTTGTTTGTTTATTTTGTCACTTTTATTTGTTTAGTTTGTAAGTTTAGTTTGTCATTTTAGTTTGTTTAGTTTTTCATGTTTGTTTGTTAGGTTTGTCATTTTTGTTTGTGAGGTTTGTCGTTTTTGTTTGATTAGTTTGACATTTTGGTTTTTAATTTGTAATTGTATTTTTGTAATACCTCATTTAAATTTAAATGTATTATCTATCTATTCCTTAAGATGTTCAGTGACTGAACTCTTATTTTAATAAAACATATATTGAGATCTAAAACATATATTGTCTACATTCACTGTGAAACATATATACGTTAAGACCCTTTTTAAGACCCTTTTAAGACCATTAAAATTTTAATTTAATTTTAGACTTATACAGGGTTAAAAACTTTTCTAATGGTATTATCATGACAAATTGTGTAATTGGTTTCTGTTTTTTAGGGAATTTAATTTGGGGATTTAGCTGTAAAAATGACTCAACAGTTGTTCTTAATTGTATCTCATTGCAATAAAAAATGTCCGATTGAATAGTTTTACTTGGATAAAGCAAAATAAAGTTTAAAATGATTTAAGACCTACAACACAAAATTTTAGTGAATTTAAGACTTTTTAAGGCAATGTATGTAGTATGTATGTGTGTGTGTGTCTGTGTGTGTGTGTGTGTGTGTGTGTGTGTGTGTGTGTGTGTGTGTGTGTGTATGTGTGTATGTATGTATATATAATAAAAAGAAATACTTGTTATAAGCACACTATGAACAGAACAAGATGTTATACTGTATAATAAAATTAGTATATAAAAAGCATTATTCTCCTTATAGTCATATGTTGCTGTTTTGTTGATGCAGTTAGTTTCAACAAGCATACCATTATGTAATACAGACAAGAATTGCATCACCACTGATGATAAACTGATTGTAAACCAATTTCGCTGACTGACTGATTTTGAGGGGCTTCCCCTTCAGAACTTACTTCTTCCTATTTAATATCCCTGTGGTAACGAGGTAGATCCCCGCAAGGACAGTCACTCCCATTACTACCCCAAACACCACCAGCCAAATTGTGATTTTTTCCTCTTTTGGTGGTGCTAATGTTGCCATCAGACCAACAAATTCCAGAGTTTCGTCACTTAGTAGAAATGCACCATTGATGCGATCTCTCTCCTGCCTGTTTAATAAGGGAAATTCTGCAGTCAGGACAGTTGCACAAATATGCCATGGCAACCAATATTCATACAAAACATTAAATACCAGATAGCATTCTCTACTTCTGCCTTTGGAATAACTGTGCCTGTTTTGGTTGGATCCATCACAGCAAATTTAAAGGATATTCTGGCGGTTTCATTGTACGTGTGGATATTCTCTGGCCTGCATGCAATGAATATGTTAATTTAACAATGATACTATCAATATGAAATGAACAATTAATGGAGGAAAAGAAATGTGCTAATACTTACGTGAAATTTACATCTGTGTTCTTTTCTTTCAAGTAGTACTGGCGCATGGCAAAGGCCATAGTGGACTTAAAGAGATAAATGTCATTTGCGTTCCAGGTGTACTGAAGATAGAAATAATTTATATTCATAAATCATTTGCATTTATTATGTAATAAATCATGTTTGCAACATTTTTAATGACTTACTGCTTCATTTCCCAGGGCAGATTTAAGGCTTATTCTGACTTTGAAGGCATTTTCTGAAATTTCTGCATCATTTATAAAAGATGATGTAAGTACACCTTTAGAAAAAACATGTTATAATTTACTATTACTAGCATACTGTAAAGTATATATTGACTGTACATTTGTGTAATTTAATCAATAGCTAAATATAATCAGAGACAACAGAACCATCTTATGTGAAGAAATAAGTACACCCCATACATAGAGCAGGCAACTTTTCGTTGCTTATAGCATGGTTAGCAATGGTTAACACCATTTGAATTAAAAACTAATCTATAAAAGTACTGTGAACTTACTCCATTTAAGTTGTTGTAATGAGGTATTTAATTAACTCATTACCTTTAACACTGAGTTCAAAACTCTTTTCAAGTTAGAATTAACTTTCAATACATTTTGAGTTAGCTACACTCATTTCACTTGATAAAGTTGACTGTTGGGTTTTACAGTGTAGGAGACAATGTACACATTAATAATGTTATGTATATTCAAATAGAAAACTAACCAGGGTTAACATTGACGTTCCAGCCAGGAACTCTGTTGTTCTTCTGGTTTTCCTCCTTCAACCACTCCATGAGAGTACTGAAGTAATGTAGCAGTGGCTGTGAGTCCATCTTTGTGGTTCCTGCAACTTCTTCCAAAGCACGAGTCCAAGACATGGATCGGCCTAACTCAAGCATATGCCTGCAAATATAAATCACAAAATAGTTATTAGCTATTCTGTTTATTCTATACAGGTCTCTAAAGGGATTTACAGGTCATTCTGGTTTTAAACAAGTCAGGTCTCTAGGGGAGTTATTACAAAAAAAGTATATTAATAAACAACATCAAAGGAATGAAGCCATACCTGAGTTTGTCACCAGCTTTGGTTGAGTTTGTAATGTCACATTTGTAAAGGGGACCGGTGTGGCCAGCTGCCTTACATAATGCCTCTTGAAACTGGAACTGATATATGGTTCTAGTGAAGTACCTATTTATGAAACAAGATATGGTTATTTATTTGGCTATATAGCTCGAGTTTTATATTCTGCTGAATGTATAATTTGTAGTAGTTTAATTCTGAAAAAAAAAACATTTTCTTTCAGCTAATTTTGTCAATTAAACTGTTATGATTGGCAGGGGGTTACCCTAATGGGCCGCTGTAGAACACTTCACCAAGTATCATCTTTCCGGACTACATGTCTCATCATACCCTGCATCCACACACCTGTCTCAAGTTCACTCTGATTACTCACAGCTGAAGGAAATTATCACTAATTACCTAGACTATTTAAACAATTAATCTTGTCTAGCTGTTGCATTCATTACAAAACGTTTCCTTGTTTTTTTGACCCTTGGACTGTTTATCTGTTCTGATTATTTGCTCCCTGTCTTGACCCTTTGCCTTTTTTAGGATTATGCTTTGGATTATCTCTGTTGTTGTGATTGTTGGTATTCAACCCTTTCTTTATAAACTCCATTTGGATCTAACCTGTCGTGAAATTTACCTTCGCAACACAAACCAGCCTCTCATTAAAAAAATATAGGGTTTTACAATTTAAAAAGGAATATGTAAAACAATATGTATTCAATATGATGAAATGGTAAATGTGAAGTACCTTCTTATTAAAAAAAAACAAGACATGACTGTTTATAAGTCAAAATGTTTACATTTAAATATATATATAATTTATTGACGCTGTGGCGCAAAGTAGTGCTGTCGCCTCACAGCAAGAAGGGCACTGATTTGAGCCGCAGCTGGGTCAGTTGGCGTTTCTGTGTGGAGTTGCATGTTCTCCCTGCGTTTGCGTGGGTTTCCTCCGGGTGCTCCGGTTTCCCCCACTGTCCAAAGACATGTGGAACAGGGGAATTGGATAAGCTAAATTGTCCGTAGTGTATGAATGTGAATAAGTGTGTATGGATGTTTCCCAGAGATGGGTTGCAGCTGGAAGGGCATTCCCTGTGTAAAACATGTGCTGGATACCCTGCTAAAAAATCCATCTTAAACCAGCCTAAGCTGGTTGGCTGGTTTTAGCTGGTTGACCAGCCTGGTTTTAGAGGGGTTTTGGCCATTTCCAGGCTGGTTTCCAGCCATTTCCAGCCTGGTCTTAGCTGGTCAGGCTGCAAAAATGACCAGCTAAAACCAACTAAAACCAGCTTGACCAGCCTGGTCTAAGATGGACACAACTGGTTTTAGCTGGGCATCTGGTCATCAGCCTGACCAGCAAAGACCAGGCTGGATATAGCTGGAAACCAGCCTGGAAATGGCCAAAACCCCTCTAAAACCAGGCTGGTCAACCAGCTAAAACCAGTCAACCAGCCTATGCTGGTTTAAGCTGTTTTTTTCAGCAGGGTAAGTTGGCGGTTCATTCTGCTGTGGCGACCCCGGAATAACAAAAGGACTAAGCCGAAAAGAAAATGAATGAATGAATTAATGCATATATAATTTATAATTTTTTTATCATTTGTTTTGCATCTATGATCTGCATTTTGTTTAAATCCAATAAACATTCTCTTTCAGCTAATGTTGTCAATTAAACATGCAAAGTTCATAACCTACTTTAAATTCAATTGTAGAAAAATCAGGCCCAAAAGAGTCGTTTTGGGAATCATTATAAAGAACCGACTCAAAACTGTTATTTTGGGTCGATTCACTACAAGAATCAATCAACTTGAAAGAGTCATTTGATTCGGGAATCATCCTCGGTGTATGTCGCGCTGTTTTGATTCAGTTACGTCGTTGAAGGAAGCGCGCCAATTCCGCCCTAAAAAGTATTCATTTCGGAAATTGGAATAACGTATGACGTATTTTTATTCGTAATTCTAGCTGAATCATTTATTCATGAATATGACCAGTCGCATTGTTTGTGTAGCTCGCGAGCATAATTTAAGACAATGGCGTTTCCTGCTTCCTCATTTTCACCTTTAGTAACGATACTGACGCTGAGTATGACTTTTAGCTGAGGACAAAAGACGCTAAATGCACAGTACACGCAGTATTTTGTTAATTGAAATGCGATATGAACACCACACTACATTACCTAATGAAAGAGTAATCTCCAGAAACGTGGAAAAGTGCTGGAGGGTCACAGTACGTCTCATCTCTGGGAACAGCCTCGGCCACTCCAACAAGTTCTCTCCTGTGGTAATAACAAATATTATTATCATGATCCATAGAGTCAAAGTGCAAATGAATAAGAGATTTTTAAGGTATGTTTTCAGTCACTCACTTCATCTGCCACCACTGCTGCATCCACTCATCTTTGGGGATTTTTGCTTTGAAGACTTGCCACCTCCATTCCTCCAGCATGTAGGTGAAGGGCAGAGTGCCCACTATGGTGAGAGCCTGCTTCAACAGGAAGTTAATATCTGTCTCTGTGCAATACAAAAAAAAAGAGCTTACAATCAATTTCTGTTATTTAGATGAAGTCATAGTCTCAAGTGGGTGTGCAATGGGCCTTTACCATAATCCTGTTTGAAGTCGGAAGGCAGAAGCCCCAGTGACTGCAGGTGAGACGGAGTGGCAGCAGAAAGCGACATGATCTCTCCAACAGCCTCATGGAAGCCCTCATTGGCACCATCTCTCAGCAGGTATGGGTGGTTTCGGTAAGCCATTTGGTACTGGTTGTGCCCCATCTCATGGTGGACAGTTAAGAAATCATCCATGTTCACTTTAGTGCACATTTTGATTCTGTAAAAATTTGAAAGTCATTATAATGATTGCTAATTGTCCAAACCACAAATGATTAAAATACATACGTTATACTGTTCTGTTTTTCAAAGATGTTTTTTTATATTTTTCTAATAGTGATAATAATATGAAATGCTTCTTGAGCACAAAAATTTGGATTTGTCCTAGCCAGATTACTTAAATTGGACCTGTAACCAATTACAAACCCATTATTGGGTTGAATGGTGTATGGAGCGCCTTTAGGTGTCAAAAAAAGCTTTTTTTAAAATTGTGTGTGATATTAATTAAAAAAGATATATATAAAACTGAAGCATTTTCATCAAAAGCAAATATTTATGAAAGTAAAATGGCTTTTTTTGTTTAAATATATTTTTAGAGTTTTCTAAAGTCTTGTTTTGTAAAATATGTATATTTAGATTTTATTATTTTCAACCTTTTTGGGAAATATAACATATAAAAATATATCAATTATAAAAATATAATTTATAATTATGTAATATTATTTACTTCTACTAATAAGTTTTTTTTATCAAGTAAATATCTTGATAAGTAAAAGTAAGAGAATTGCAAACATCAAAAATGACATCAGCAAAAATGTAATGTTTTTTTTCTGTCATCCTCAATGAATTTCTTTCAAATGGTATCATATCTACTAGTTAATCATTGCCGTGCATTTTGACCGAATGTACCAAAGCATTATCAGCCCCACCTGAAGTCCTTTCTGTTTCCCATATCCCATGCGGTAGGATGGCAAACCACATCTCTTTCTTCAGGTTTAATAAACATTGAGTTGTTCCAGAAGTTGTCAAACATTGCAGGCATGTTTACAGACATGAAGAATTTTTCTGCCTCTTTAAACAGACGGATTTCATCCCAACCCTGAAATAAAATTACAAATAAAACTAAAAACCACATTAGGACAATTTACAGCTCAGAATCTTCCGGAATACTTTATTGCTTCAGTTAAAGGAACAAAATGATTAATATCACACTACAGATTACATTTAATCTTTGATCCGATAAAACACGACCTTTAGCCCCGATTGTTAAACATGCGTAGATAAAGATAAATCCTCTGTGATAAAAAGATGCTCAATGAATAGAAAGAAAAATGGTCACATGTCCTACCTGCTCCACCATTGCGGAGCTCACATCAATATCAGGCCTGTCTGGATATGGGATCATGAGAGGATACAAGTTGGTCCAAAACCGTCCCCACATATCACCTGAATGTAAAATGTCAAAAATTAAGTATTAATTTAATAAAGTAAATTGCAAGGTTATTCAATTATGTATAATTTAATATGACTGTTTGGCCAATACAAATTACTTAAAGGTGTACAGTACCTCACCCAAAATGTAAAACTTGCTTTTAATTTACTCTCCCTTAAGCCATCAAAGATGCAGATGACTTGTTGTCCTTAGCAGAATATATATATATATATATATATTTTTTTTTTTTTTTTTTTTTAATTAAATCTTAAGTCCCTTATTTATAAGCATTCATAGAAGTCAAGCCAATGGTTTCTTTGAAAGTCAAAAAAAAACATTTACAGGCAAAACTAAATTAATACCTGTGATTCCTGATGATACGTTTAAATCTTATAAATTGAAATAATTGGTTTGTGTCAGAAACGAAACATTATTTGCAAAATTATTACTTTTAATCCACAGCCTCGACAAACATTTTTTTAACACATTTCCAAAAGTCTGGAATCAAACTTTCTGATGCTTGACAACATAAATACAAACTTCTGTTTCTTGCACAGATCAGTCTGTCCACTTCATAAGAACTCGATTTATCATTAGGAGACAAGAGTATTAATTTGGCTTAGTCTGTTTTTTGTTTTTATTTGTGCTGGTAGCTATAGACTTACATTTATGAATTGTTACTAATGCCGAGTTCAGATTGCATGATTTTAGCCTAGATTTTGACTCACCGACAGGTTTTGAAAAATCCCAGACAAATGCCTGAAATTAAAGTCAAATTGGTGCTTGTTCACTTGGGTAACAATCACACAGTGTGAGCTATCAAAGACGCAATCTCAGACAATCGCAGATGATTTGCTGACACCTGTGAGATATATGGCATGCTAAATATCGTGACCTGTCGGTGATGCAAAATCATGTAAAATGTGCTCTGATTCAGAATAAAATAAGTGATTACCTACAGCCAATGAGAGAGCAGAATTCACTAGTATGGGTTAGGGTTGCACGGTTTATCTGTACGATGTTAGTATCTTGATATTATGGCTCCAAAATACTGGTAGTGCCACTGTAGTTTATAAACGATAGTATCCTCATTCACGGTCTGTCTACAATACATAATGTTGCATGTGGAAAATTCACTAAAATGTTCACACGTTTGTGCAACAATAGACCATTTTATTTGAATAGTCTGTGGAGCCCTTTAAGGTTACAAAACTGTATAGAATTCATGCCTTTTATTGTAGCCCATTGCAAGTTGCTGATGTTGCTGTTCAAACGCACATCTGAATCAGCCTATTTCTGTTCCCGTCTAATTGATTTAGTAGCTCAAACAACCGCAACAATCTCTTAAAAAGTACGACTCACAAAGTGAACATTTTGAATACCTGATCAAATAAAAATAAAAAAACAATAGATAAAAAACCCAAAAAGAGCAAGAGGAAACATTTACACTAATTTTTGACCACTTCATATAGCCTAATTTTGTTGTAAAAATACTCTTTTTGTAAAGTATTTTGTTCATTATAATTTGTATCTTTATTTTAATGCAGTTTTTGTTGGTCGGTTATCTACAAAATAGTTTAGGTGAAGTGATGTGCAGATACTTTTTTCAATAGTAAGGGAATTATGAATTCAGTTCAAGTAAGCCTATTATCATTCATTCATTTATTTTCTTTTAAGCTTAGTCCCTTTATTAATCCGGGTTCACAACAGTAGAATGAACCACCAACTTATCCAGCACATGCTTTACGCAGCAGATGCCCTTCCAGCTGCAATCCATCTCTAGGAAACATCTATTCACACTCATACACTACAGACAATTTAGCCTACCCAATTCACCTGTACCGAATGTCTTTGGACTGTGAGGTAAACCAGAGCACCCTAAGGAAACCCACACAAATGCAGGGAGAACATGCAAACTCCACACAGAAACGCCAACTGACCCAGCCGCGGCTCGAACCAGCGACCTTTTTGCTGTGAGGTGACAGCACAACCTACTGCGCCACTGCGTCACCCTAAGCCTATTATAACATATAAAATATAGTATTTCTAACAATTTTCTTTACTCATAGATTTGAGTTATGAATTACAGTATCGCAATACTACCTAATATCACGATTCTTCAGCTGGTATTATAACGTGAATTAATGGTATCGTGACAACCCTAGTATGAGTATCTGCTGGTCAGCAGGAGGTTGGGGAGAAGTTAAAAGCCCTTATTTTTGAATTTTGGACCCAAAAAATAACGGGAAAACTAGTGGAAATTTGGCATCAGCACCCGTGCCTTTTTGACGTGTCATCTGAGCAATACCACAACCGAGTCGAAAAAGTATTCAGTATGACAAAAGTTCTTTTTCAGTATGACAAAAGATATACTTTGTGGCTTTGCATTGTTTCCACGTCACTTCTTGCATGTGTTTGGTTGTGAGTTGTAGTTTGTGGACTAAGACAATGTTGTCGGCGATACTTCCTATTATAAAGTCATGCCGTGTGAAACCCCCTGTCGCCAATCCATCCTACAGTGTAAACACAGCACTGACATAATGCTACTCTAGAAAGTCATGCTGTGTGAAAACATCTGTGACACAATTACTTTGAATGTTGTGCAGTCTGAACTTGTCATAAGGACCACAGTTTTAGCTAAAAATTTTCTTTACTGAAGCAAAAATAAGCCTCTTGGATGTCTTGAGGCTGGGTAAAACAGAAAATGTTTCTATGTGGATAATTTAATCTACCCATTTAATAACATTACCAAGCAAATGTGCTGGAAGACAGGCATCAGAGCCAATGTGACCAGGATAGACGTCTTGCAGTTTTGCTCTCACGTAAGCATGAAGCTCTTTGTACAGTGGTAAGATCTGGAAAATCATATTAAAAATGCATTTTCAGAATCAGGACCCAAGTAAAAATGTCTACGCATTGATTTGACTTCTTTTTGCCAACCTCTTTGTAAATGCGCCTGGCGTCTTCTATAACTTGGTCTCGGGAGTAACTGTATTTGGGATCATCAATAGTTTCATAATCTCCCCTCCAATAATCTCCATGGTCTTCGTAGTCTATAATTAAACAAAAAGATTCATATTATTAATAACAAGTGAGTTGTTTTGAACTTTGTCATTAGCTGTCGATAAAAGCAGTGCCGTAAAACAATATTATCACTTATGGTTATTAAAACACTGTCATAAAGTTGAAAAAAAGCTTGTACTGTTGAGCTTGGCAGCTTCATTCTTCAGGTCGACGTATTTTTCATACAAGGGTCTCATCTTCATCCCTGTGGCCACTCTCCAGCCTTCCCATACATGCAGACGCTCATCATAGTCTCTGCTCTCTGCCATGATACTCTCTAGGCCTAGTCAATAAAAAATCAATTTTAGTCAGTCTACATTTGACTGGGAATTTCCTCTGTGTTGGAATCAAACCCTTCATGTGTTTCACTTGGGGTTGGAATCAAACCCTTTTGTATTTTCTATTGAATCCAAGTCAGGTGATTGGCTAGGCCATTCTACGGCTTGATTTTCTTTCTCTGAAACCATTTGAGAGTTTCCTTGGCTGTGTTTTAAATCATTGTCTTGCTGAAATGTCCACCCTGTTTTCATCATCATCATCTTGATAATGTAGATGTTAGACCGAAGCAGATAATATTAATTTACAAATGACAAAGGGCCAAATTGCTGAGTAACTTCTGAGAAATTTCAGCTTCTGTCTGGGCATTCACTGCCTCTCTACACCTCCCTTTTTTCATGTGTTCCATACTTTTTTCCGGTGTTGTTTAATTTTATTACACATTTATTATTACACACTTTATTATTGCAAACTATATTTTTTGCATAAATGAATTTCTTTGGTCGTTACCAACATCTGTAAAAAAATTTAAGTCAACAGCTTTTTAGAAATATGTTTTCTGAAAACTGGTGATGTGTTGAATACTTATTACCCCTACTTTATAGAAATATGTGAATTATATGGATTTAAAAATAGTTAAGTGGACTCCTTACATTTAACTGAGAACTGAAAAATAATTAAATTAGCTAAAATGGTAAATGAATAAAATACATCTGGCTCTTTAAACTCACAGTATCCCACTTCGTTGTTTGATTGTATTAATTTATTGTTGAATATTGAAGCATTTTGAATGCAAACCCTTTCTGGCTCTTTTTACCTTTGCTTCACACTATGTTTCATATTTCATATCCTCTTTTTTTCACATCTCACCACATTCAACAATGAACCTGAGAATGAAAACTGATGGTTCCCTATTGTTTTTTTTTTTTTACACGTGAATAAGTAAAGCAGATAACAGAAACCTCTTACACACACTCTTTTATTATTAAACAAGCCATCTATTTATGATCCTGAGATTTCGCTTTATCATTAGAATGGTATGCAAAGTTGATATTACCTGGCTCCAAAGTCTGACAATCGGTGGGGTCGTCTATTTTGCACACAGTCGCCGTGTTGTAAATAGTGCTCATCTCTGACATGATATTTCTCAGCTGTGATACATAAGTCATTCACACAATTTTAGTTTCTATGTTTGTCATATTACTACAGGAGAAGTGATACAGCACATGAAATTGCAATGTCATACTTACTTCACTAGCTTTGTCAGGTGAAAGGGCCCCAGATCCTTTATCTTGAAGCTTCTGGAGCTGCATTTTAATGATTGGATCCGATATTTGGTCTATGGGGTAGGCATTAGACTCTTCTGACATCTTGTTGTAGTACTCGCTCCAGATTGCATATGCCTCTGCCTGAAGAGAGAGTTGAAGAGAACCCATGATCACTAGTGGTGCAGGGATTATTGGTGTTCTCCTATCAATCATTTCAATAAACATTAGATATTTGTAATTTCAATAATTTAGTTAGTTAAAACTGTTGCGTAAAAGGGTTGAAGTTGATCGCCTTGTGTTGAACACCAATTTACAGTTACTAATGGTGTTGTTCTCATACTTTCCCCATATATTGAAACAGCCAAAAATACATTGTATGGTATGGGTCGAAATTATAGATTTTTTTATGCAAAAAAAAATGATAAGAATATAAAGCAAAGATCACATTACAGAAAGATGTTTTGTAAATTTCCTTCTGTAAATATATCAAAAAAGTTATATAATTTGTAAGTACTTAATTTGGACAACTTTAAAGGTAATTTTCTCAGTATTTAGATTTTTTGAATTATCAGATTATCTCTGTAAATATTGTCCTTTCCTAACAAAACATACAACAGTTAAAATATAATTTATTCAGCTTTCAGAGGATGTATCAGGGCACTAACGCAGGGTCTTAAAAAGTCTTAAAATGTCTTAAATTTAAAAAAAAAATGAAATTGCCCCTAAAAAGTCGCTGAAAATTCACTTAAATTCACTGAAATATTGTGTTGTAGGTCTTAAATCATTTTAAACAGGTCTTAATTTTATTCAAAACAGTAGCTTTATTCAAGTAAAGCTACTCAGTTGGGCCAACATCCATCCAATCACCAACAGTACATCTCAATAAAACCTTATTTTTTTACATGTAAGTTTTTATTGCAAAGAGATACAATTCATAACAGCATTTAAACATTTTACAGCAAATTCCCCATTAAATTCCCTAATCAGCAAAAGATAACTAAAGACAATTATATGATTCCCCACGATAATACCTGGTCTCTAGTGTTCAACCCTGTGTAAGTCTAAAGTGTCATTCTTTATGATCTTAAAAGGGTCTTTAAAAATCCTAATTTTGACTTAATGACACCTGCAGTAGCCCTGTGTATACATCTCAAGAAATACATAAAGACATTTATGACTGTTTTGTGGTCCGGGGTCACATTTAGTGATTCAGAACAGTAAGCAGAACATAGAATTAAAAAAAAAAACATGGTCATAAACACCATTTTATTCATTTACACTGTAAAAATTTATTTAAACAGTTCCCTTATGTTGTCCCAACACAAATCGATTAAGTTAACTGAATCTTTTTTTAAAAACTGAAGTGGACTGAACATAAAAATATTAATTTTCCCAAAACAACATAAGAATTGTGTTGTTTCAATCATTTTAAATGCGTAGTTTGAAGCAGCAAAATTCAGTTTTTTTGAGTGCATTACTGTTGTTGTATTACTCATAATTTTACATTTAGTGAATTCAGTAGTTGTATGTTAGATGTTCAACATGTCATAAATATTCATATCCAGGTATGATGTTTAATTCATTTTTATGACAGACATTTAATATTTCATATAAAGAAAAAAAAATTCTGAAAAAAACATTATATATGTTTGACTTGTAATAAACATCAATATCTAGTTATTACTACTCATACTTACAGTAAAATTACATAATAAATTAATTTTTTTGGAAGTTAAACAGGCCAGCTCGAGATAAGCACTTAACTTATCATGGACATGTATTCTGTTAATATTCTGATGCTATTCAATTAATAGTTTTTCCAAATAAATGATCAGTATATTTAACATATTTCCCCGAATATATTATCAATATATTTTATATATATTTCAATAGTTTAACGTCTTAGAATTGCTTGCGGAAGACAGAAAAGGCTGCTCAATGTGTCTTAAATACTCATATTCAGATATGTCATATTCAGATTATTTACCCCTAAAATACATATTTTGTGATTTCAGTAGCTGAAAGAATAAAAAAAAATGTAGTATTTACTAAATACTAAAAATAATAGTATTTTTACTAAAATCGTATTTCTATTGTTCAAATATTACTTCTCCTATATTTTCAGATTTCAGTAGATTCAGTTGTGATGCTTAACATCCCTCCTCTACTTTTCCACTCTTACCTCTTTATCTGCATTTTCCTGGGAGATATCTGTGTTGTAGGCCCAGGATGCAAGGGTGTACTGGTACATGATGTCAGATGCCTCTTCATCAAATTTGTTGAGGAATTCCCTTGCTCTGTCCTCCACAGTCTGACAGCAGGCCACAGAGGCCAAGGCCAAAAGCAGGAGCCAGCGAGCACACATGACCACAGCCTTGTCCCACCGATTCTGACGCTGTTGTTTTCCCCGTGTGCGCTTTTTATTGAAGACAGCTCATTTGCTTTGCCCTTTGACCAGTGCTATAACCCTAATGGTGCACAATCTATTTGAATGCAGATGGGATGATTCCAGGAACGAGTCTTGATGGACGTTGCGCAACATATTTTCTGCTTATATGACCAGATTTATAGAAAAGTTCTGTATGAATGAAACTTAGACTTTCACTGTGTGAGCACTGCAAGTGAGTAGAAATTAGATGTTGATGAAATCAGTCATGTTGTTAAAAGTAAAGTCATGTTGTTAAAAGTTGTTAAACTGTACTTTTTTTAATACAGTTTATTTGAAACAAATCTGAGTTTTATAGAAGGTAAACAAGTTGTAATGGCTACTGAAAGCATACATGGAAATAAGGAAAACACACTAAAATTATTTTCTTTGTGAAGAGACCACCTGTGAATTTCAGTTTGAGGAGCGAGTCCATCATGCAAACATAATGTAGGCCTATAAAAGCATAAATAACAGTGACTGTGAAGGCTGAAGTAGATCTTTATCAAGATAAGCCTATGACTCAGAGACTTTCAGAGTTAAATTACACCTTTAAAATATTAAATAATACTGCGTGATAGTGAGCTGAAGAACAAAGTGGACTATTTGATATCGAACCTGGATTAATTCCATGGACTGTTGTGAAATTCATACTAGAATTTTAAGCCTAAAATGTAAAATAAAAAATATTGTAAAATGTAAAAAATGTAATTCATTTATTGAGAAAATGTTTGAATGCCTTGGATGTATTTTTACTTGTAGCCAGAATATCAGTTTAAAGCAAGGGTCTCAAACTCAAATTGACAGGGGCCATTTCAGTTAATGACAGTTTATACGAGGGCCGTTTTAACATTTAAGCACTAGAAAAAAGTGGAAACCTGATATAATTGATGCATCTTAGCCTAGTACAACAGACATGATCTTTATATTGCAAGCATTACCTGTCACCAGTGATAATGCAAATCTGCACGTTTATTGTGTCGTATCAGCTGCTGAAATTTATCTGTGGTTGTTGTGTGTATTGCCGACACATTCAGCCATTCTTCCACAGAGTATATGCAGTCAAAACTCTAGCTTTTTGTTTCTTGTTGTACATATTGAAGGGGTAGTTTAAATTGCTAAGAAAATACTACAAATAATAGGCATAATAGTTATTATTATATCCCAACTAGTTGTATCCTCTCAATAGCATAAAAACAGCAGATATCAGTTTGGGTAACTTTAGTGACTTTACTGCAAATTGTTGATCTCAATTTTTCTTTTTTTCTTTTTTGTAAAACTACAACAAAGAGGGGACTTTATTTACATATTCATATTTACTTTAACATGCTTAATTCAACCAGCAGAACAATTGTACTAATATACTTAGTTTTTATGCAAACCTTAATAAGCATATGAGGAGACTCTATTAAGTGAGACCAATATTAGTAAATATTAGCAAAATGATCATATTTTTTACACTACCAACATAACGTGTAAGTCATGAAGTGTTTGTACAACAAAATATAAGTGGTATAAAATGATGATCAATGATAATCAAACAACCCTTGAATATTTACAAAAATATAGCTTTAGTAAAAATAGAGCACTTATGGACATATATTTTAACGTTTAAATTAGCCAGAAATAAAACGCAAGTGTGTTACTCTGAACCGTACACTGAGAGAAAATGAAAGTAAAACTAATCCAAATGCACAAATGTGCTTTAAATGTCGACTAGGTGGTTGGTCAAAACCACAAATGGCTAGACGCGACTGCACAACAATGATAGTGGTTAAAAAATATATATGTTTTGGTGGGTCGAATCTCATATTTTTACCGTCAGTTGCGGGCTGGAGGGAGGAGGAGGGCCGTAAATGGCCTGCGGGCCGGCAGTTTGAGACCCTTGTTTCAAGGAAAAGTTCACCCAAAATTGCACATTTCATCACAATTTTTTAGCACTCAAGTGGTTCTAAAGTTTTATGAATTTTTTCTTCACAAAACAAGATATTTTGAAGAATGTTTAAAAAAGAGGGCAGCAAGGTGGCTCAGTGGTTAGCACTGTCGTCTCACAGCAAAGGTCGCTGGTTCAAGTCCTGGCTGGGCCAGTTGGCATTTCTGTGTGGAGTTTGCGTGTTCACCCCATGTTGGTGTGGGTTTTCTCCAGATGCTCCGGTTTCCCCCACAGTCCAAACTCCAAAGACATGCGCTATAAACAAAATTGGCCGTGGCATTAGAGTGTTTGTGTGAATGTGAGAGTGTATGGGTGTTGTGTGTCAAGCGAGGTGACAAAGTTGAGAATCCTTCAACTTTATGCAAATAAAGAGAGACTTTCTTGAGCGACCGCCAATAGAAGCACCAGTAGAGCTGATGTGATCCTCTTGCAGTTGTATTCAGTGACAGGCAGCTACAAAGTCGCTGCTAGTGTGAATGAGGCATAAGCTGAAGTCGAATGAATGTTTAAAAGGCAGGCATCAAAGTTGACAAAAAATACTAAGGAAGTTAGTTGCTGTTTGAATCCAACAGTATTACTTTTAACAGCTTCTGCAAATCTTCCTTTGTGTTCAATTGAAGAAAGAAACTCAAAGAGTTTTGAGTAAATGATGACTATTAACTATTAATTTATGCAGTCATATTGTCATGTCCTCAGATGTTACAGTATGCCCTTTGTGATGGGGTATGTTGTCAGATTTCATTTCTACGGTATATTGATGTACATTTGATTTCATGTTTTTATTTGATTTGATTTATTAATTTTGAACAGAAATATCAGACATAATAGCACTTCAACAAAAAATACATTTCAACATGGCTGAAATGGGGTGGGCTGAAGCACAAGCTTTTCCCACCCCATTACCAAAAACATCAGTTGTCTATTACTTCAACTTATTTCTCGTATCTCTTCTTTTTACATGAGACAGATTAACTTTGCACGATACATATTTTACCCTTTTGGCATCTTTAACAAAATATATGTTTGATTCCATTTGTACAAATGTAAAGAGGTGCATTTGGAGACAAAGTTATACTCTGGGAACCCCGTGTGGATTTACACAAACGCAATGCTCTCCTACCTAATAAGTACACCCAATGCTAGTTGCCTGCTATGACCACCAGGTGGTGATGTCGCTTTAAATGTTTAAAACTTCAGCTGCTGATTCCTGATTCCACCACAAGAGGCTGCTCTACACACATCCGCGTGTATATAAATTCGCTCAAATGATTGCAGATGTGTTTTATTTATTATCCTTTTAATTCAAAAATAGGGAGTAAACGATCTGGCCTCCACATCTGCTTACAGGTCTCAGGTCTGTCCACGCCGTTATATCAACAGTTCAGGTCAGCATGTGCTTTTGAACGGTGTTTTCTGGTCCTAAGCATCTGTAAGTCCTTGACAAAAGAGTGGATAAAGTTAACCGGAAAACCGCTGCACTGACGTAACTCTGCAAACCTTGCGGTTCCCAAACGGAACAGACACATTACGCTGTCACCTTTGTAGCAATTACAATGGAGCATTAATGGATTGTGAATGAACTTTTTCATTTCAGCAGATTGAAAAGATATACACGTCAACTGCCTATAGGGGAGACTATTGTGCCATAACGCAGGGTGAGTATCTCTAAGTTAACCAGGTTAATGTTGTTTAAATCCCCATGATCACCACGTCTTGAGGTGACTACAAGTTTTAATACAATACCCTGACAAATCAAATATGGTTGTACTACAAATAAAATAAAGCATATATTTAAAAAAAAACATAGTAATTACAAATTAACCTTTTTGCTTCAGCAACCATGTTTGTAGTACGGTAGTTTGAAAAATTGTAATTAGCATGCAAAACACACATAGTTACCACTGTTTTAATAGACCTGTGGTCAATATTAAGCGTCCAGAAGAGCCATTTTTGCATTTTCATCAAGGTGTTCGAGTAATGAATAAACTGTATTATGTGTCAGAAATACCTTCTAGAATACGTGTGATAGGCCTCTGTAGATTATTTTATCCATTTTTAAAGCCTACTACGCGAAAGGTCTGGCTTATAAATATTAATGACACATCTCATTGGATGCTTACAAAGCGACGTCATCGTGTTCCGATTAATATTCAACAGGTACGCCTTCGTCATAGTAGAGTGCGTAATTTCTCTCCGCTCCTAGCGTAAGTAGACCAGTCCATGTTTTTGCAAAGCCTCTCTCCATCCAACCTCAGCCTCAAAGCCCTGAAAATACCCAGTAGCCTACCAAAAGGCATCCAGAACCAGAGGAGGAGCAGAGATATTCACTGAGAAACCTCCATCCCCGTGCGATCTCCTCTAACGGGAGAACTGAAGCGATGGCGGGTTGCGCGGAGGATTTGTGGATTTTTGCTTGACACGCGCCAGAATCTTCTGCTGGATTAGTTGTTTGGTTTATTTATGGGGGATTTTCATTTACCTGCTGAAAAATGCCTTTTGCCAAACGGATCGTTGAGCCCCAGCTGCTGGTTAGACATCCCATCCCTAATGATGAAGGGTTACTGTTCGAGGATCTGTGCTCCATCACCAATGTGGCTCTATCCCGGACCCTGCGGCAGCTCTCCGACCTGTCCAAACACGCTTGCTCCTTATTTCAGGAGCTTGAGAACGAAATAGTGTCCACAAACCAACGGGTTTGGGCTTTGCAGAACAAAATAGGCAAAATTCAGCAAACCGCCAGTGCGCTGGATCCAAAAATGGAGGCTGTGCGTAAGTACACCATTACGCATTATAGCTTGGATGTTTTTCGTGGGAAACTGCAATGTTTTGGAGATTATCACAAAAGAATGAATGAATATGCTGGTTATTTGTATCAAGTCACATGCCTCGAAGCTTTGCCAAGCAAATTATAATGTGTCACACGCCTGTATGCGTAACCAACACCTGCACCGTGACCGGTTGCGCTTTTCGCTCGCAAACGAAAAACGTCTTGCCACACGTTAACCAACGGCTCTGTATGTGTTTTTAGTAGATATGTGTGATCGCTAGGCATTAGGAAAGAGTCTTGGTCATTTTGAGCAGCTGTTTGGGAAGAGGGGCGTGTAAGTGCCATGACTGTTTAAAATCCTATATTGGTAAACCCAACAGCTATCTCTGCAGGTATGAAATGATCTTTATTCTTATTCTGGCGATCACAATAACGGTAGTAAGGATTTAGTGGTGTATTAATTGAAATCGCGTGATTGCATAGTCACAATCATCTGCGCTAGGACACGAGAAAAAATAGGGCTTTCTCCGCATATACCTATATAAATTCGGTCTAAGTGAAAATATACTATTTTAACCTTGTGAATTTTGAACTAACACCTCACCTCCCGTTTATTCCAAAATAATTAAAGCAAAATTAAACATACGTGCAGAAACATACTAAAAATATCTGCTAAATAATGCATTATTTAAATACTTATATAATATGTTTTTATTTTATTTAGTTTTTATTTTATCTGCGAAACAAATAACGCAATGCAACATAACGATGCCTGAGAGATTAGCCACCATACTCGTATTTTTATATTTTCTAACAGAAAAAGACATGATTTGGATAATCAAGTAAACCCCAGCTGCGTTAGTTCAGAGTTGATCTTAATTAAACACTGTATCCACCCATTCTTGAAGTCCAAGATGAATCTAACCTAAATATTATCGATAATGTGAAATTTAAAACATGAATTGTGAAATGTTATAACCCACACTTAAAAGTGAGCGAATTATGCATTCAAACCTCCAGGATTTTATGGGTGTGGAGAGAAAATATGGATGCAGTGCTAAATGATAAGCAACATCCTCCTTATATGCATGTAGAAATGTCCAGCAGGATAGTGAAAGAGTAAAAAGGGGCTCTAAAAATCTAAATGCACAGGCCAATGAAGCCAGGCCTTGCTTTGAAATAATAAAAGAGCCTGAGTGTCCTTGTCAAGCCTCCGAGGAGATCAGAGCCTCATGTGGATCACTGGGTGCTGCTGTATAGCTTTAATTATAAGATGATGTTAAGCTGCAGTGGGGCTAAATCCAATGCATGGATACAGCACCAGAAAGATGGAGATTTCCTCCAAGGCAAAACAGGCACATTTACAGACTAGTTTGAATAGGATGAAATCGTTTCATTCTCACTGATGGCATGAAGTGTGTTTTGAACTCGGTCAAGTCCAGGAATAAACTGATTTGACCCAAAAACAGATTAAGGCATGTAGGTCAAGCTAGGTCCTGCTGAATTAATCTTTTTCTTTCTGAGTGATTATTACCATCAGAGCCAAACTACTTTACCCCTACAGATTTTACTGTCGTTCATTTGCTTCCTCACAGAATCAGTGTCATTTTCTTGAAGACTCGTTCTTATTTTTTATGAAGTTTGTTGCTTGTTATCAAGTTTGTTGCTTGTCATGATCTTGTAGCTTGGCAGATTAAGGTAAAACTGGCAGTGTGTTTGGTTTTATTTGCGCACATGATTTGACTACCAACCTCACTCTCGGAAAACTTAAGGATGGTTTTCTTGACTGGAATAAAAAAGGGCTTTTTTTTTTATTAGAAATTTCTGTTTTGAAATTTGTATCAAAGTTGATCCATGGTTTATAGAATTAATCAGTGAAATGTATTAAAATATTAGCTTTTTTAGTGACCAAATATTGACCACTGTGAATAATATTCTTACAAACTGACTTTTATAGAAAGTTCAAATAGTTTTAAGTTATTTATAAACTGCAAAACCCAATAAGTTCAGTTAACTCAAACCATTTGAGGAAACCGATTGCGGCTAACTCTTTAAGTTTTGAAACCAAATAGTTTGAGTACTGTAAACCTATATATTATAAATCATATGCACTTATATTATTTGAATTCACATTGTCAAACATTTAGTGTAGTAACTTATACAGATATGATAACTGAACTTAAACTGTTTCAGTTCAGTTAACTTAAACTATTCAAGTCAAACAAATGTATGCTCAAACGGTTTTAAGAAACTGATTGCAGCAAATGGTTTAAGTTGACTGAACTCAAATGAATAAAATTAGTCAACTTAAATGGTTTGCTGCAATCAGTTTCCTCAAACCATTTAAGAAGCTATATAGTCGTTTGGACTTAATTCATTCTATTACCTGAACACAAATAGATTTGAACATTAACATGTGTCTAACACATACATAAAAAGGGGCTATTTTAAGCCAAATTTATTGAAATAATCCATTTATTTCAGTCAAGTATAAACTGTAAAACCCAATAGTTAACTTTATCAAATTAAAAGAGTGGTTAACTCAAAAATGGACTGAAAGTTAATTCTACTCAATTGAAAAGTGGTTTGAACTCAGTGTTGAAGGTAATGAGTTAATTTAATACCTAATTTCTTCAACTTGAATGGAGTAAGTTCACAGTACTCGTATAGATTAGTTTTTGAACTTAAATGGTTTGTTGCAATCGGTTTCCTCAACGGTTTAAGTTACCTTATAACTTTTTAGATGTTACAGTGTATTAAAAACATTAAAACATTTTAGCAACAGTATCTTAACAAATTTACTGTAAAATATCACATTTTATTTTAGGAAATCCTGTTTGTGTAATAAAAAAGCTTTTATCACGTTTAATTTTTTTCTAAATTCAAACTTTATTTCTGTGTATTCTGGTTCACATCTAACAGTCTTTTTCTTTTTTGAAATTCATTTCAAAGTTGATCCATGGTATATAGAATAAATTACTTAAATTAATGATATATTTGAAACTTTATTAACCACAGTGAATTCTCCCTTTTCTAAAAAAGCTAAAGTGTGTTAAGTTATTTATATATTGATAAACACTCAAAACTTTTATTTCACTTTTATAAAATTTTTATTTTAGGGAATCCCGTTTTAGTAATAAAAAGGCGTTTATCACGTTTATTTTTTTTTCTCTGAATTGCATTTTATTTTGTAGCTATTTATTTATTATAATAATATTTTATAATATTTTATTTTTTTGTGGTTTTATTTTGTTTTGCAATTATATCATTATTTCTGTGATTCACATCTAACAATTCAGACTGAATTGACCGATATGTCAAAAGTCAGAATTTTAAAAAATCATAGTAAGTATCACTTTTCATATTATTCATTAGTGGTGAAAACAAGCTACTAAATTATTTTGTGTGTTGTATATTGTTTACTTGTTGGTGTTTTCTATCAGTTTTTAAAAATCACTGTTCATTTTGTGAGAGAAAATAGATTCTGCATCATTTTTTTCATTGTATAAAAAGTTCCACATGATGGTGTTCATAGGCATATGTTCACTTTACACTTCAAAAGGCTTGATTTTCCCAAACATCAGACATATAAAAGCTTGACTATAAATCTGACTGTGGATTTCTGAGAAGTTCTCAAAATCCAGAGATTTCCAAAAGCCTGTTCCACATCAAAAATATATGATTCATCCCTGGTATTATGCTTTAGCCTGGCTATTGTAGATAAAAGCAACTAATTACCAAAAATGATGGCGTATGCTGTTCCAATGTTTTTGCATGTGCCTCGATGAAAGGAGGACGGTGTTGTGCTAAAGCTGGTTGCTGTGTCTGACTTTGCAGTCAAAATAAAAAGATTAAAAGAGAGGAGTTTTGCTGTCTTAGGCTTTGAGGAGCTCAAACGTGTCATTTTTGCATTCTTGAGAAGTTTGACTGCTCTTCTCTCTCAGTTTGAGATTCTTATATTTAATGTTTTAGATTAAAATCTGATATAAAACAGCAAGTAAAGTTACATTGCATTGGGTTAGAAAACACTGGTTGTAAACTATTGTCTCCAAAGCTCTCATTGTGCATGTGAGGCCTGTGTCACAGCTCTTTATGGCTCGATTAGCGTAAACGATCCTAATCCCGTAATTGTCGTGTATTTCTTGTTATTCCAATGATGGCATGTGGTGACAGGAACGACACCCTACTGAATGTGAATGGACTGTTGACCTGCAGGACCCTCGTATATCCCTAACTGTGATCTTTTGCTAACTTGCATACATATATTACCAAAAACAAATCTGGAAAAAAAGTTTTGATTGTTTTTCAGAGACAAAAATGTAGCAAAATGTGCAATTTAGAGAAGTTAGTTGTATTTATGTATATGGAGAAAAATTAGGATATATATCAATTAGGCGTGGGCCGGTATAATTGTCTGACGGTATAATAACCTTTGGTAAAAATATCACTGTTTCACAGTATTGTGATTACTGCTCTAAAATATGTTCTTTTTGATGGTCTGGGTAAAAAAAAAAAACTTTTTTTCCTCTTGAACACAAAATGTTTTATTTTGAGAAACATTATATTACTTTGGATAAGTAAACATGCCAGGATAAATAATTTAAATGAATCATTGACTTTTGCCGTCTTCATTTGTTTCAAAAACATTTTTTTTTTTTACAATCTTTGCATATCTTTTTCTGCTGGAGATACTGTTGTCCTAAAACACTAAAAAAACATAAATAAAAAAAATCTTACACATACTTTAGGAATAGTATAGCAGAAAATGTTGGGGGTTTTAAAATCTTGACTTTTCCAAACCATGATGGTATAGCTTGAAACCAGTTATCATCCCATGCCTAAAATCGATGCATTCTATGAAAAGTTAGTAATAAGCATCCAACTGTAGTGTGCTGTTTTATTATAAAAATGATTATTTTTCACAGATGTCTTACTTGTATTTTAATTTATTTTATTGTATTGATTTAACGAAAGAAATACTGGGAATTTGTTTTCTTCTAAA